GGGGGGGGGGGGGGGGGGGGGGGCCTGGGCCCGGGCCACCGGGGGCCAGCAGGCCCAGGGTCTGCGTTTGGCCCCGGCCGCCGGGCGCCGAGTGCTTTCTGCCGTCACCTGTGCTCTGGAAGTAGAAAGAGGGGCAGACGGCTGAGGGTCTACAGGCGCCCCAGGCCAGGTCGGGCGGCGGGAAGGTGCCCGCTACTGCGAAGGGCGAGCTACGGAGGCTACGCTACGGGGGGGAGAGAACCCCGGTTAGCGACTCAGAGGCCAGTGTTGTGACTGGGGTTATGGAAAAAGTTATTTAAATGAGTCAGGCAACGTTTTTTTAATAGTTAGAGAAGCTTGATCTAGTCCAATAAAGGCATAACTCAAGTTAAAGGCACGTCCCCTTATTGTAGAACTTTCCAGTAGTTGTAGATACTGCTTTATATATATATATATTAAAAGTGGTATGTCCTGGGGGTATTTGAGAAAATAAGTGTGTACATCAGAATCAGAAATACTTTAATAATCCCAGAGGGAAATTATTTAAATAAATGCATTCATGGCTGTTTTTTGGTCAAAGCTAGTAGGTGTGCTGACACCTACCGACATTTAGCACCTTGTTCCAAATGCATGCATAATTTATGTTATATTTCACATATTTTATAATCATACCAGGTCACAGGTTTGTTTAACATCATTCCCGGTCTCCAGACTGTGTGTCTGTGTGTGCATGATTAGTCACAGTGGGCAGGTGGCTAGCCTTAGGTCACTTCATTTGATTGTGAGTGGCTATAAACTAGCATTGTTAGTCATTCAAATCAAGCATTAATATCCCATGAATGACTGTATAAGGTCACTGGTTAATTCTGGGTTTTGTGTTTATGATTTGGTTGCAGGTTTACAACCTAACTAACTCACTAATTATCGAGCTAACAGGCTAGCGTAACTGTAGCCGTTAGGCTAGCTAGTGCTAGCTAGTATGTGTGGATGCTTATTGTGAATGTGTGCGCGATAAAAATCCATAAAGCGACTGGAGTTGCATCCACCGTTGTCTTGAAACCCTTCCAGATTGGAGTTTATTGAGCTATAGCAGGTAGTTCAGTAAAATGCTTGACACTTATATAAGTTAGCATGAATAAAGAAAGGAAAAGGCCTCTGTGTTTCTTATCAGCAACAAACTAAGAGATTCTGATTTACTCCTCAGTCCTCTAGGAAGTCCCATGGAGAATCTCCAAAAAGGAAAAAAGCTATGCTTATTCTCAGGAGACAGGAAGGGGAACCCCTTTTTGGACGGACCAAAAGGAGAATCTTCTCAGGAGATGAGTGAGGACGGCACAAAGGGCAAGTCAAACAATTTCAATGATAAACACAGAAATGGGGGATTCATTCTTGATGGGATTAAGTAAACGGTTGCATTTC